GATGCCCAAGTTCAGCATGCCAGGCTTCAAAGGAGAGGGCCCAGAAGTGGATGTGAACCTGCCCAAGGCTGACATCGACATCTCTGGACCCAAGGTTGACATTGAAGCCCCAGACGTGAGCCTTGAGGTACCAGAAGGGAAGCTGAAGGGCCCCAAGTTCAAGATGCCTGACATGCACTTCAAGACTCCCAAGATCTCCATGCCTGATGTGGACTTACACTTGAAAGGCCCCAAAGTCAAAGGCGATGTCGATGTGTCTGTGCCGAAATTGGAGGGAGATTTGAAGGGCCCCAGCGTGGATGTGAAGGTGCCTGACGTTGATCTCGAATGTCCTGATGCAAAGTTGAAAGGGCACAAGTTCAAGATGCCTGACATGCACTTCCATGCCCCCAAGATCTCCATGCCTGATGTGGACTTCAACTTAAAGGGGCCTAAAATTAAAGGAGACTTTGATGTTTCAGCCCCAAAGATGGAAGGAGAGCTAAAGGGTCCAGAACTGGATGTTAAGGGCCCCAAATTGGATGTTGACATGCCAGATGTAGCTGTGGAAGGCCCAGATGGCAAATGGAAAAGTCCTAAATTCAAGATGCCAGACATGCATTTTAAAACTCCTAAAATCTCCATGCCAGACATTAATCTACACTTAAAAAGCCCCAAGGTCAAGGGAGAGGTGGATGTCGATGTTCCCAAATTGGAAGGCGACCTCAAAGGTGACATCAGTGGGCCAGATATCGACATTGAAGGACCTGAGGGCAAATTGAAAGGCCCCAAGTTCAAGATGCCTGACATGCATTTCAAAGCCCCAAATATATCTATGCCTGATGTGGACCTAAATCTGAAAGGACCGAAAATCAAGGGGGATGTCGATGTGTCTGTGCCTGAAGTAGAAGGTAAAATTAAAGTACCAGATGTGAACGTCAAGGGCCCCAAAGTAGACATAAGTGCTCCTGAAGTTCATGGCCCAGACTGGCACCTGAAGATGCCCAAGATGAAAATGCCCAAGTTCAGCATGCCAGGCTTCAAAGCAGAGGGCCCAGAAGTGGATGTGAATCTTCCCAAGGCTGACATTGATGTCTCAGGACCCAAAGTTGACATTGAAGCCCCAGATGTGAGCATTGAGGGTCCAGAGGGAAAAATCAAGGGGCCTAAATTTAAGATGCCAGAGATGAACATCAAAGCCCCAAAGATCTCCATGCCTGATGTAGATTTACATTTGAAAGGTCCTAAGGTCAAAGGAGACATAGACCTTTCCCTGCCGAAGGTGGAAGGTGACCTCAAGGGCCCCAAAGTGGACATTGATGCCCCAGATGTGGATGTTCAAGGCCCAGACTGGCACCTGAAGATGCCCAAGATGAAAATGCCCAAGTTCAGCATGCCAGGCTTCAAAGGAGAGGGCCCAGAAGTGGATGTGAACCTGCCCAAGGCTGATATTGACATCTCCGGACCCAAGGTTGACATTGAAGCCCCAGACGTGAACATTGAGGGCCCAGAAGGAAAACTGAAAGGCCCTAAGTTCAAGATGCCTGACATGCACTTCCATGCCCCCAAGATCTCCATGCCTGATTTGCATCTGAAAGGTCCCAAAGTCAAGGGTGATATGGACGTTTCTCTGCCTAAAGTGGAAGGCCCTGAAGTTGACATCAAGGGCCCCAAAGTGGACATTGCTGCACCAGATGTGGATGTTCAAGGGCCAGACTGGCACCTGAAGATGCCCAAAGTGAAAATGCCCAAGTTCAGCATGCCAGGCTTCAAAGGAGAGGGCCCTGAAGTGGATGTGACCCTGCCCAAGGCTGACATCGATGTCTCGGCACCCAAAGTGGACCTTGAATGTCCTGATGTGAATATTGAAGGGCCTGAAGGAAAGTGGAAAAGTCCAAAGTTTAAGATGCCTGATATGCATTTTAAGACACCAAAGATCTCCATGCCAGATATTGATCTTAACCTAACAGGACCCAAAATAAAAGGCGATATGGATGTCACAGGTCCCAAGATCGAGGGAGATCTGAAAGGTCCTGAAGTTGACCTCAAAGGCCCCAAAGTGGACATTGATGTTCCAGATGTGGATGTTCATGGCCCAGACTGGCACCTGAAGATGCCCAAGATGAAAATGCCCAAGTTCAGCATGCCTGGCTTCAAAGCAGAAGGCCCAGAAGTGGATGTGAACCTCCCCAAGGCTGACATTGATGTAACTGGACCCAAGGTGGACATTGAGGGCCCTGATGTTAACATTGAAGGGCCAGAAGGAAAGTTGAAAGGTCCTAAGTTCAAGATGCCTGAGATGAACATCAAGGCCCCCAAGATCTCCATGCCTGACTTTGACATGCATCTGAAAGGTCCCAAAGTAAAGGGTGATGTTGATGTTTCTCTGCCTAAAGTTGAAGGCCCTGAAGTCGACATCAAGGGCCCCAAAGTGGACGTTGATGTCCCAGACGTGGATGTTCACGGCCCAGACTGGCACCTGAAGATGCCCAAGGTGAAAATGCCCAAGTTCAGTATGCCAGGCTTCAAAGGAGAGGGCCCAGAAGTGGATGTGAACCTGCCCAAGGCTGACTTTGATGTCTCAGGACCCAAGGTGGACATTGAAGGTCCTGATGTGAATATCGAAGGCCCAGATGCGAAACTGAAGGGCCCCAAGTTCAAGATGCCTGAGATGAACATCAAAGCTCCTAAGATCTCCATGCCTGACATTGATCTGAACCTGAAAGGCCCCAAAGTGAAAGGTGATGTGGACGTGTCTTTACCAAAAATGGAAGGTGAGATTAAAGTTCCTGAAGTGGATATTAAAGGCCCTAAAGTGGACATTGACGTTCCAGATGTGGATGTTCATGGTCCTGATTGGCACCTGAAGATGCCCAAGGTGAAAATGCCCAAGTTCAGCATGCCGGGCTTCAAAGGAGAGGGCCCTGAAGTGGATGTGAACCTGCCCAAAGCTGACTTTGATGTCTCAGGACCCAAGGTGGACATTGAAGGTCCAGATGTGAATATCGAAGGTCCAGATGCAAAACTGAAGGGCCCCAAGTTCAAGATGCCAGAGATGAACATCAAAGCTCCTAAGATCTCCATGCCAGATTTGGACCTTAATCTTAAAGGCCCTAAAATGAAAGGAGAGGTGGATGTTTCACTTCCAAATGTAGAAGGTGATTTGAAAGGGCCTACTCTTGACATCAAGGGCCCGAAGGTAGATCTAGATGCTCCGGCTGTTGACATTCATGGTCCAGAAGGCAAACTAAAAGGCCCCAAAGTGAAGATGCCTGACATGCATGTAAACATGCCCAAGATCTCCATGCCAGAAATTGACCTGAATTTGAAAGGTTCAAAGCTTAAGGGAGAGGTTGATGTTTCTGGGCCCAAATTAGAAGGTGACATTAAAGCTCCCAAGTTGGATGTAAAGGGCCCAGAAGTGGACATTTCTGGTCCTAAGCTCAATATTGAAGGCAAGTCAAAGAAATCTCGTTTTAAGCTTCCCAAATTTAATTTTTCGGGCTCCAAAGTCCAGACACCTGAGGTGGATGTCAAAGTTAAAAAGCCAGATATTGATGTAACAGGCCCGAAAGTTGACATCAACGCTCCTGATGTCGAAGTCCAAGGAAAAGTAAAAGGCTCCAAGTTCAAAATGCCTTTCCTGAGTATTTCATCCCCTAAAGTTTCTATGCCTGATGTAGAGTTAAACCTGAAAAGTCCTAAAGTCAAAGGAGACTTGAATGTGGCAGGCCCGGATGTAGAAGGTGACTTTAAAGGACCCCAAGTGGATATTAAGGCACCAGAAGTCCATCTTGATGCACCTGATGTGGATGTTCATGGTCCAGACTGGAATTTGAAAATGCCCAAGATGAAAATGCCCAAGTTTGGTGTGCCTGGCTTCAAAGCAGAAGGGCCAGATATGTCTGTGGATCTGCCAAAAGGAGATATCAACATAGAGGCTCCCAAAGTGGACATTGAGGGCCCAGAAATCAATGTGGAAGGTCTAGAAGGAGGCTTAAAAGGTCCCAGACTCAAGATGCCTGACATGAATATTAAAGCTCCCAAGATCTCCATGCCTGACATTGATTTAAATCTGAAGGGTCCCAAGGTAAAAGGTGATGTGGATGTTTCTCTTCCCAAAGTGGAAGGAGAGCTGAAAGGTCCAGGGATTGACATCAAAGGGCCCAAAGTGGACATCGATGCCCCTGATGTAGACGTTCATGGCCCAGACTGGCACCTGAAAATGCCCAAGGTGAAAATGCCCAAGTTCAGCATGCCGGGCTTCAAAGCAGAGGGCCCGGATGTGGACGTAAACCTTCCCAAGGCCGACATTGATGTTCCCGATGTGAGTCTCGAAGGTCCAGATGCGAAACTGAAGGGCCCCAAATTCAAGATGCCTGAGATGAACATCAAAGCTCCCCAAATCTCCATGCCTGACATTGATCTGAACCTGAAGGGCCCCAAAATGAAGGGCGATGTAGACGTGTCTTTGCCAAAAGTGGAAGGTGACCTAAAGGGCCCTGAGGTGGACATCAAGGGCCCCAAAGTGGACATTGACACTCCTGACATTAACATTGAAGGCCCAGAGGGGAAATTGAAGGGGCCTAAATTCAAGATGCCAGAGATGCACCTAAAGGCTCCCAAGCTCTCCATGCCTGACATTGACTTAAACCTGAAAGGCCCCAAGGTGAAGGGTGATATGGACGTTTCTCTTCCCAAGATGGAAGCGGATCTGAAAGGCCCTGAGATTGACATCAAAGGTCCAAAAGTGGACATGAATGCCCCTGATGTGGACGTCCATGGCCCAGACTGGCACCTGAAGATGCCCAAGGTGAAAATGCCCAAATTCAGCATGCCTGGCTTCAAAGGAGAGGGCCCAGAAGTGGATGTGAACCTGCCCAAAGCTGACATCGATGTCTCAGCACCCAAAGTGGACCTGGAAGGCCCTGACATGAATATTGAGGGACCTGAGGGAAAGCTGAAAGGTCCTAAGTTCAAAATGCCGGAGATGAGCATCAAGGCCCCCAAGATCTCCATGCCTGACTTCGATTTGCATCTGAAAGGTCCTAAGGTCAAAGGAGATGTGGATGTTGCCCTGCCTAAGGTGGAAGGTGACCTGAAAGGCCCTGAAGTTGACATCAAGGGCCCCAAAGTGGACATTAATGCACCAGATGTGGATGTTCATGGCCCAGACTGGCACCTGAAAATGCCCAAGATGAAAATGCCCAAGTTCAGCATGCCTGGCTTCAAAGCAGAAGGCCCAGAAGTGGATGTGAACCTCCCCAAGGCTGACATTGATGTCTCAGGACCCAAAGTAGATGTTGAAATGCCAGATGTCAATATTGAAGGTCCGGATGCAAAACTGAAGGGCCCCAAGTTCAAGATGCCAGAGATGAACATCAAGGCCCCCAAGATCTCCATGCCTGACTTTGATTTGCATCTGAAAAGTCCTAAGGTGAAAGGTGATGTAGATGTTTCTCTGCCTAAGGTGGAAGGTGACTTAAAGGGCCCTGACGTTGACATCAAAGGCCCCAAAGTGGATATCGATGTCCCAGACGTGGATGTTCACGGCCCAGACTGGCACCTGAAGATGCCCAAGGTGAAAATGCCCAAGTTCAGCATGCCGGGCTTCAAAGGAGAGGGCCCAGATGTGGATGTGAACCTGCCCAAGGCTGACATTGATGTCTCAGGACCCAAGGTGGACATAGACACTCCTGACATTGACATTCATGGCCCAGAAGGGAAACTCAAGGGCCCCAAGTTCAAAATGCCTGACCTGCATCTCAAAGCACCCAAGATCTCCATGCCTGAAGTCGACCTGAACCTGAAGGGTCCTAAAGTAAAGGGCGATGTGGACGTTTCTCTGCCCAAAGTGGAAGGTGACCTCAAGGGCCCTGAACTTGACATCAAAGGCCCCAAAGTGGACATCGACGTCCCTGATGTGGACGTGCATGGTCCCGACTGGCACCTGAAGATGCCCAAGGTGAAAATGCCCAAGTTCAGCATGCCGGGCTTCAAAGGAGAGGGCCCAGATGTGGATGTGAACCTGCCCAAGGCTGACTTTGATGGTCCAGATGTGAGTATCGAAGGTCCAGATGCGAAACTGAAGGGCCCCAAGTTCAAGATGCCTGAGATGAACATCAAAGCTCCAAAGATCTCCATGCCTGACCTTGACTTGAACCTGAAAGGTCCCAAAGTGAAGGGCGATGTGGATGTTTCCCTGCCTAAGGTGGAAGGTGACCTCAAGGGCCCTGGAATTGACATCAAAGGCCCTAAAGTGGACGTCGATGTCCCTGATGTGGATGTTCACGGTCCCGACTGGCACCTGAAGATGCCCAAGGTGAAAATGCCCAAGTTCAGCATGCCAGGCTTCAAAGGAGAGGGCCCTGAAGTGGATGTGAACCTCCCTAAAGCTGACATTGATATCTCTGGCCCCAAAGTGGATATTGCTGCCCCAGATCTGAATATCGAAGGTCCAGATGCAAAATTGAAGGGCCCTAAGTTCAAGATGCCTGAGATGAACATTAAAGCCCCCAAGATCTCCATGCCTGACTTTGACTTAAGCCTGAAAGGGCCGAAGGTGAAGGGCGATGTGGACCTTTCACTGCCTAAGGTGGAAGGTGATCTGAAAGGACCAGAGGTGGACATTGAAGGTCCTGAAGGGAAACTCAAGGGCCCCAAGTTTAAGATGCCTGATGTGCATTTCAAAACCCCACAAATCTCCATGAGTGACATTGATTTGAACTTGAAAGGACCTAAAGTAAAAGGAGATTTGGACCTTTCCGTTCCTAAACTGGAAGGAGATCTGAAAGGCCCCAAAGTGGATATTAAAGGCCCTAAGCTGGACATAGACACTCCTGACATTGACATTCATGGCCCGGAAGGGAAACTCAAGGGCCCCAAGTTCAAAATGCCTGACCTGCATCTCAAAGCACCCAAGATCTCCATGCCTGAAGTTGACCTGAACGTGAAGGGTCCTAAAGTAAAGGGCGATGACGTTTCCCTGCCTATGGTGGAAGGTGACCTCAAGGGCCCTGGAATTGACATCAAAGGGCCCAAAGTGGACATCGATGTCCCTGATGTGGACATGCATGGTCCCGACTGGCACCTGAAGATGCCCAAGGTGAAAATGCCCAAGTTCAGCATGCCGGGCTTCAAAGGAGAGGGCCCTGATGTGGATGTGAACCTGCCCAAGGCTGACTTTGATGTCTCAGGACCCAAGGTGGACATTGATGTTCCAGATGTGAGTATCGAAGGCCCAGATGCGAAACTGAAGGGCCCCAAGTTCAAGATGCCTGAGATGAACATCAAAGCTCCGAAGATCTCCATGCCAGATCTTGATCTGAACCTGAAGGGCCCCAAAATGAAGGGCGATGTGGACGTTTCCCTGCCTATGGTGGAAGGTGACCTCAAGGGCCCTGGAATTGACATCAAAGGGCCCAAAGTGGACATCGATGTCCCTGATGTGGACATGCATGGTCCCGACTGGCACCTGAAGATGCCCAAGGTGAAAATGCCCAAGTTCAGCATGCCAGGCTTCAAAGGAGAGGGCCCCGATGTGGATGTGAACCTGCCCAAGGCTGACTTTGATGTCTCAGGACCTAAGATGGACATTGATGTCCCAGATGTGAATATTGAAGGGCCAGATGCGAAACTGAAGGGTCCCAAGTTCAAGATGCCTGAGATAAATATCAAAGCTCCCAAAATCTCCATGCCTGATGTTGACCTAGATTTGAAGGGACCCAAAGTCAAAGGAGATTTTGATGTGTCTGTCCCTAAGATTGAAGGTACTTTCAAAGGCCCAGAAGTAGACTTGAAAGGTCCAGGTCTGGATTTTGAAGGCCCTGATGCCAAACTCAGTGGCCCACATTTGAAGATGCCATCACTGGATATATCTGCCCCTAAAGTAACTGTTCCTGATGTTGATTTGCATCTCAAGACACCCAAAATAGGAATTTCTGGGCCCAAATTAGAAGGCGGTGAACTGGACCTTAAGGGGCCTAAAGTTGACCTAGAAGCTCCAACCTTAGATGTACACATGGAGAGCCCAGATGTCAACCTTGAGGGGCCAGATGTTAAAATTCCCAAACTTAAGAAACCCAAGTTAGGATTTGGGGCAAAAGGCCCCAAAGCTGACTTCAAGTCACCCTCGGTCGATGTGACTGTTCCTGAGGCAGAGCTAAACGTCGAGACTCCTGAAATCAGTGTCGGTGGCAAGGGCAAGAAAAGTAAGTTTAAAATGCCTAAGATTCACATGAGTGGTCCCAAAATTAAAACCAAGAAACAAGGATTTGATTTGAATGTTCCTGGCGGCGAAATTGATGCCAGTCTCAAGGCTCCTGATGTAGACGTGAATGTTGCCGGGCCGGATGCCACACTTAAAGTCGATGTGAAATCTCCTAAAACCAAGAAATCTATGTTTGGAAAGATGTACTTCCCTGATGTAGAATTTGACATTAAATCATCTAAATTTAAAGCGGAGGCCTCCCTCCCTAGCCCCAGAATGGAGGGCGAAATCCAGGCCTGTGACCTGGATGTTTCCTCGCCAGGGATTAATGTGGACGCACCTGACATCCACATTGAAGGCCCAGATGCTAAAGTCAGAGCACCGTCCTTTGGCATTTCTGCCCCTCAAGTCTCCATCCCCGATGTGAACGTTAGCTTGAAAGGACCAAAGGTAAAGGGTGATGTCCCCAGTGTGGGCCTGGAAGGACCAGACGTAGATCTGCAAGGTCCAGAAGCGAAAATCAAGTTCCCCAAGTTTTCGATGCCCAAGATCGGCGTCCCCGGCGTGAAAATGGAGGGTGGGGGAGCGGAGGTCCATGCCCAGCTGCCCTCGCTTGAAGGAAATCTGAGCGCACCGGGTGTTAAGCTGGAAGGGCCTGATGTGTCTCTGAAGGGGTCAAGAGTAGACTTGCCTTCCGTGAACCTCTCTATGCCCAAAGTCTCTGGACCTGACCTCGACCTGAACTTGAAAGGACCAAGTGTGAAGGGAGACCTGGCTGTCTCTGGTGACATCAAGTGCCCTAAAGTATCAGTAGGTGCTCCGGATCTAAGCTGGGAGGCACCTGAAGGTGGCATTAAACTTCCCCAAATGAAGCTGCCCCAGTTTGGCATCTCCACTCCAGGGTCTGACTTGGACATTAACATCAAAGGGCCCCAGGTTACTGGAGAACTGAAGGGGCCAGGCATGGATGTGAACCTCGGAGGCCTCAACTTGAAAGGGCCTCAAATCTCGGCACCGGACGTGGACTTGAACTTGGAAGGACCAAAAGTGAGAGGGAGCCTCGGGGGCACTGGGGAGCTGCACGGGCCCTCCGTCGGAGGAGGGCTCCCGGGCGTGAGTGTTCACGGCCTGGAAGGGAACCTCCACATGCCTGGCATCAAGGCCCCTGCGTGCGGTCTGGAGCTGCAGGGGGGGAAGGTGAGACTCCCCACGGGGCAGGTTTCTGGCCCTGAAATCAAAGGCGACCTGAAAGGTTCAGGAATCGGTGTCCACGGGGCCGCTCCCGACATTAGCGTGAAAGGACCTTCGTTTGCTATGGCGTCTCCTGAGTCCGAGCTTGGTGTCAGCTTGAAGGGCCCGAAAATCAAAGGAGGTGTGGATGTTTCAGGGGGTGTCAGCGCCCCAGACATCAGCCTGGGTGAAGGGCATCTGGGCGCCAAAGGTTCTGGGGTCGAGTGGAAAGGCCCCCAGGTCTCTGCTCTCGACCTGGGTGCACCCACGCTGGCCGGTGGACTTCATTTCTCAGGACCAAAGGTGGAAGGAGGAGGGAAAGGAGGCCAGATTGGACTCCAGGGTCCTGGGCTGAGCGTGTCCGGGCCGCAGGGTCACTTGGAAAGCAGATCTGGAAAAGTAACATTCCCTAAGATGAAGATCCCCAAGTTCACCTTCTCTGGCCGCGAGCTGGTTGGCAGAGAAGTGGGGGTGGATATCAACTTCCCCAAAGGCGAGGCCGGCGTCCAGGCCGGTGCCGGAGAGGGCGAGTGGGAGGAGTCCGACGTCAAACTGAAGAAGTCCAAAATCAAAATGCCCAAGTTCAATTTCTCCAAACCGAAAGGGAAAGGCGGCGTGACCGGCTCGCCAGAGGCCTCCATCTCGGGGTCCAAAGGGGACCTGAAGAGCTCGAAGGCCAGCCTGGGCTCTTTGGAAGGAGAGGCAGAGGCCGAAGCGTCTTCGCCCAAAGCCAAGTTCTCCTTGTTTAAAAGCAAGAAGCCGCGGCACCGCTCCAACTCCTTCAGCGACGAAAGAGAGCTCTCGGCGCCGTCCACGCCCACCGGGACTCTGGAGTTCGAAGGCGGCGAAGTGTCGCTGGAAGGCGGAAAGGTCAAAGGGAAACACGGGAAGCTGAAGTTTGGTACCTTTGGTGGATTAGGGTCAAAGAGCAAAGGTCATTATGAGGTGACTGGAAGTGATGACGAGGCAGGCAAGTTACAGGGGAGCGGGGTGTCCTTGGCCTCTAAGAAGTCCCGACTGTCCTCTTCCTCCAGCAACGACAGTGGGACGAAGGTCGGCATCCAGCTGCCCGAGGTGGAGCTGGCGGTGTCCACGAAGAAAGAGTAGCCGGCCTCTGTGTACATACATGTATAAAACGCGACAGCCTTGGGTGTGTTTGTAATATAACCTCAGAGAGCAGCGCGCCCGCAGCTCAGCAGCAAGGCCAAGAGCTGGCCTCGCATCGCCCGGGCCCCGGGAGCTCCCGACGCCTCAGAGTCCCAGGTCTGTCCAGCCGCGTGCAGAGTCAACAGTATTTGCCTTAAGATTTCTCTTTTTATTTTTATTTTTATTTTTGCATTGAACGCGGAGAACTCCTGTTTACTACGCCAGCTTTTGTGTTTATTATCCTTATTTTTACTGAACATGGGTAGCGTTGGGGTCATCGGAAACCCACTTACTTTCTCATTGCAATGACTTTGCGGGTTTTTGTTAGTGAGGGTGGGGTGGGGTAGAAGGCAGTAAAGGGAACCACACCCCCGTTTCTCCTAAGATTGGGTCCACTCAAACAGCAAGCCCCCCACGATGGCCAAGAGGAGTGGGCGGGCAGGGCGTGTGGGTGTTTCTTTAGAAACCCTGAGCATTGCTGTTCCCCCCCCCCCCGCGGTGGGTGTCCCGCCTGCGTGGTGCTCAGGGTGAGAGGGAGTTAGAATCTGTGTGCAGTTGGGCCGGCCCCCGGCTCAGCGCGGGGGCTTCCCCTCTGGGCATGGTGAGGGGAGTGTTTTCTTCATGGCCACCCTGTTCCCGATACTAGTTCTGGTTTCTTTTAACAAATGTTACCGTGATTAAGAACTTCCCCCCGCACTTTAATGGCAACTTAATTAAGAATGTAAGAGAATCGATGCTGTCAGAGGCAAATAAAGCTGTTTATTAACCTGATGTCTGCGCCTTTGCATTGCGTTGCGGGAGGAAGCCCCAGGAGGCTGCGCACCAGCCCCGACAGTGCCCAGGGGATCTGGATCCGGGTCCGGGTCCGCCCGGTGGCAGCATCGCTGGGTCAGTAACGGGTGGTGGGCGGAACTCTTGGGTCTTGATGCTTCTGGCGAGGCTGGTGCACCATCGCTGAGAAGTCAGGGGAGGCTTGGTCCGCTGGCAGCCCAGCCGGGACCTACTCCTCACCTTGTAGGAAGTGCCCCTCATGTTGGTCATTGCTGGGCAGCGGGTAGTGCCCTCTGACACCAAAGCAAGTAGACGAAGCCCCCCCACCCCCCCTTCCCCGGAGCTGCAGCCTCTGCCAGTGGAGGCAGCTCTCCCGTCACCCTCAGGCCAGATCCCAGCCGCCACCCCACCCCACCCTCCGGGAAGGCTTGCCGGGTTCCTGCCCACAGCAGTGGGGCCTGCCCAGCGCGAACCCCGCCTGCCCTTGCTTGGATTTCAGATCAGTGTCTGCCAGCTCCGTCCGTTCATCCCCTCAGCCAGCACAGCCCGTGTCCCTGCGGGGGTTGGAGCTCCAGGGTGGCTGTCCCTTTTGGAAAGAGCTAGTAACAAGGGAGGTGTCTGATCCTCCTGCTGCTCTTCGCAAGATGACCAACCCACGGCTGCTTTTGTGAATGGGCAAGACATGTCACCCTCCTCGAACCTCAGGTTCCTCGTCCATGGATGGGAGAGTATCCATAGGACCGGAGTCCCTTGGGGTGTTTGGGCGTCTGTCGCTGCGAGGGCACCACGTCTACACGTGCAGCGCCCATGGCACAGCCACATGCTAATCGCGGAGAGCACAAGGGTGTAGATGGAGTCCGAGAGGGCACGTGAGCCCCCCCACACACACACACTCAAGTGAGGGCACACGCATGCCGGAGGCCACACACACACCTGGCACACGCCTCCACCGCTGCCTTCTGTCCCGATGGGCCTGGCACCTCCCAGGGTGCTTCTGTCACTCAACCACAGGCCCAAGCCCAACCCCTGACCCTCAGTTCTGAAGCTGACAGCTCTGTGGGGTGTGGCCCTGGAGTCGGGAGGGTGGGATGAGTGGGTGACTGTGGGGTGCATTTGCGTACACAGCCAGGGATGCCCACGGGGACACTGGAGAGAGCCCCTGGGCAGAACTACCCAGGCTGTCCCGTAAGTTATCAATTAAATGTGGTTTTTTTAAGCTTGAGAAGGGGCCATATAAGCTAGTATTTCTCGAGCCCCCGGGACTCAGCACCCTCCACAGACCAAGGGGTATGGTGGGTGTGGGCCACCAATGCTCCGAGCCCTGGGAACGTGGAAACGATGCTTCTACGGGGTGGTGAGGACGGGGATGGGTCCCTGGCTCCCAAGACCAGATCTCATTGGCGGGGACAGTCAGGGGCTGGTGAGTCAGATGGAAAAGGAAACCGGCCACTGGCCACTCAAACGGGAGGAGCGTTTGAGCTGCCCTTTTCCCACATCGGGCCCAGGTGGAGGCAGTGCCTCCGCGTCCTGCAGGGGCTGTTCCCGGAGGGGCGCCTGGAGGAGCGCCAGGGGCTGCAGAGGCGGTGGCGGCCGCCCCTGCTGGCTTCTTTGCCTGTGCTGCCCGCCCACTCTCATCGCCCCTCCCCTCCTGCTCCTCCTGACACCATGGCCACCCACCCTGCCCTCTCTCAGCCCCGAGGGGGATGGGCCAAGTTAGTCCCCACAGTGCTGCGGGGCCTTAAACTCTGAGGCCCCAGTCCAGTGGGAAGGCGGGTGCTGCCTGGAGAGGAGCGGGCAGCGGCCTGCAGCCTGCCGGGGCGCCTGCGTGGGAAGCGTGTGGCTCAGGGGACCCTGGGAAAGGGAATTATTTTGGAATGCATCGCGTGCTCACAAGCAGTAGTAAATATTTTTCATCAACCCAGACTCATTCCTGTGTCCGTCAGGGTCCCTGCAGGGACTGGAATCCCAGCTGAAGACAGTTCAGCCCCGGGGAGCGGGCAGGGCACAGCTGGCCACGGAAGCGGGTGCTGCCCTGGGCCTGAGGGGTCCGGGGAGCCCAGCCTGAGCCCGAGGCGGAGAATATTGCGGTTCCCTCTTTCCGGAACTGCTCCCAGCGTCACCTGTGCATTAAAAAAGCATTTTCTTGGGGAAACAAAAACCTCCCTCTTGATTTTTGCAAAAAGCCAAAAGGCCTGGAAGACGCTCCAAGGTTCCCAGCACAGAACCCCCAAACAGCACCGGCCTCGGAGTTGGTGGGGTTGGTTCTCAACCTTCTGGCCCTTTAAATACAGTTCCTCATGTTGTGACCCAACCATAAAATTATTTTCGTTGCTACTTCATAACTGTCATGTTGCTACTGTTATGAATCATAATGTAAACATCTGATATGCAGGATGGTCTTAGGCGACCCCTGTGAAAGGGTCGTTCTACCGCCAAAGGGGTCGCGACCCACAGGTTGAGAACTGCTGGGTTAGAGTGACCGTGGGCAAATCAAGACCCTTCTGGGCCTCAGTTTGCCCCTTTGTGACATGGATAAGGCATGGCCGTTCCAATAGCCTGTGGTCCTTCCAGGAGCCAGGCTGGTTAAGGGGGTGCATGGGGCTGCCCGGGTCCAAAGCAAGACGTGATTAGAATGCAGCGCAACCGACTTCCCTGTGCGGGGTAAGCGGGACCAGCTGTGCTGAGCAGCGGCAGCATCGCGGGCGCCACAGCAAAAGTCAGCACCCTCCGGGGCTTTGCATGTGGCCAGTGTGTGCGTGTGCGTGTGCATGTGCGCGCGCATGTGTGTGTGCGTGTGTGTGTGTGACGTCATCAGGGTCCCACCTTTGCTCTCTGGTGTCGCACAGTCGCTGTGACATGAATAGTATCTGGGAGATGCAGCTAAGCATGTCACAGATGTTTGTGTTCTTTATTTTTTTAATTTTTATTGATTTCGGAGAGGAAGGGAGAAGGAGAGAGAGAGAAATCTCAATGATGAGAATCATGGATCGGCTGCCTCCTGCACGTCCCCTACTGGGGAACGTTCTAGCCACTGAGCCAAGTTGGCTAGGGCTTTGTTAACTTTTTAAGTGTCTTTATTTTGAATTCAAACCGACAGAGACGTTGCAAGAATAGACAATGCTTATCCACATACCTTTACTTGTTTGTTTTAAGCCTCTCTCTCTCTCTAGATGTTATAATTGTTACTTTTGCCGAATCATTTGAGAGCGAATTGCAGACACCATGACCCTTTACTCTAGAACACGTTAGCAGGTAGGACGCCTCTCATAGAACCAGCTTAAAATGACCAAATTCGGAAAACTTACCCGGGAGGGATTATTATTGACCTACAGGTCCACGGAAATTTCACTAACGGGCCCATCATTTCCTTAGGGCAATGCCTTCCCTCCTTCGGCTTCAGCCCACGTCCACGATCCCACATGACAGGTGTCGTGGCCCCTGTGGTTCCTTCAGCGTTCGGCTGTCATTTGGGACGCTGATGGGGCCCCTGGGTTTGAAAAGGACTCTCAGGCTGGGTGTGTCCGATGGTTCTTCGTGGTCAGACTCAGGTGCTGCATTTTGGGGGAAGGAACACCTCGGGATGGTGTGGGCCCTTCTCCGGATCCTGGGCTAAGGAGACGGCCCGTTTCTCCATTGTACCAGCGCCCTGGCTTCCCTTTGGAATTAACAAGCAAACCCACGTTTTCAAGAAAGAGGTCCAAGTTTGGGCAAGTTTCTTTCGCAAGCACACTTTAACGGGCGGGTGGCATGCGGGCCTGCCCGGCCTTGGCGGCTCCGTGGGGAGGGGGGGGCAGTTTGGGAAGTGGCGTCCTGCGCCCTGGCTCTGGGCGTTGCAGCACAGAGCAGCCCTCTGTTTCTCCTCACGAGGACAAAGAATTCGGGGCATGAATGCTTGCCACAGGCCGAGCGTGCCATGTGCTGTTTACCAGCCCGCGGCGTCCCTCCCGCAGGCACAGGGCTTCCAGAGGCTGCCGCTCCCAGCACAGGCTGCCAGGGTGCAGCGCATGGGGAGTGGGGAGCAGCGCGCATGGGGAGTGGGGAGCAGCGCATGGGGAGTGGGGAGCGCTCTGCTGAGGAGGGCGCTTTCCGTTCCCTTTCAAAACCTCTGCTCTTTTCCACCCCCAGCCCGAGGCCTGGCCTGGATGGGAAGCCTTCCCAGCCGTGGGGCCGAGGGGTGGGAAGGGTTAAGAATGAAAAGACCTGCCCTAGCCAGTTTGGCTCTGTGGACAGAGCGGCCCATGGACTGAAGGGTCCCGGGTTCCATCCCGGTCAAGGGCACGGAGCTTGGTTGCAGGTTCCCCGGCCCCGATCAGGGTGCGTGCAGGAGGCAACCAATCGATGTGTTTCTCTCACATCCATGTCTCTCTCCGTCTCTCCCTCTGCCTTCCACTCTCAAAAAATCAATGGAAAAATATCCTTGGGTGAGGATTAGCAAACAAAACAAAGAAGGGTCCCGGGTTCCATCCCGGTCAAGGGCACGGAGCTTGGTTGCAGGTTCCCCGGCCCCGGTCAGGGTGCGTGCAGGAGGCAACCAATCGATGTGTTTCTCTCACATCCATGTCTCTCTCCGTCTCTCCCTCTGCCTTCCACTCTCAAAAAATCAATGGAAAAATATCCTTGGGTGAGGATTAACAAACAAAACAAAAGCAAACAAAACAAAGCATGAAAAGACCTTCTGTTTGGACGGGGCGTTCTAGCCCACACAGGGCTCTGTGTTTTGCAGATCTCACAGGGATTCTCAGCTCTGCCCCGGCCAGAAGGGCCGGGAAGGTGAGGACGGGAGAAGTGAAGCCAGTGGTGGGCCTTAACCAACAGCTGGGAAGAGATGACTCCGCCTGGGTCAACCCGAGCGTTCTGGTTTAAAAAAATAAATTACTTTCTTTGTGTTTCCTTTCCCATGATGCCATTGCTGTTTTCCCCGAGGAAGCTGGGAATGTTTTTCTGAGGAGGTTTTAGGAAATGGAAGATGTCTTTTGAAATTTGCAGGGCCTTGACCTTTT